GTCCCTTTGTGAGGCAGAGCTGGGAAGTCTGGCAGGATGGCACATGAAAGTGTGGGCACTCCCGCATCTCAGGGTTGTATCCTCCGCTTTGGGATCCCTAGTGCGAACCACCCAGGGAATTAACGGTGGGGTCATTTCATTTCACAAGTGCTAAGACTGGGGTTCTAGAAAGACTTGAGGGCTTTTTCATTCCAGCTTGCCTGTGAATCTGGCTATTTTTGGAATTAAGCAAAGATTCCTAAAGATCAGGCAAAGGCCCTGAACTCTGGGACCCTGTTCCCTGCCACCAGCCAGGGGGGCAGCCTCTTTCCAGCCCCCTTACCTTTGTACCTAACTGTTTCCACTGCCTGGGTACCCTCCTTTCTCTCTGCTCACCTGGGTGAGGTGTCCCCAGGCTTCACTTTTATAACTGTACTTAGCATATTAGTTTTAAAATATCTTTAAGGTCTGGCTCGTGGGTTAGGCCTAAATCTCCATCCCTTAGTTGCTGTGCAAGCCTGGGCAGGGAATCTGCCCATCTGCTTCTGCAAAAGGGGGAATCCTAAGAGTAAGCTCTCTCTTTGGATGAGATACACAGTAATTGCTCCATCTCAACTATTTTAGAATCTTGGACAATGGGAACAGCTGGGAAAGACTTGAGCAGTCAAGGTGGGGAGGATTCAGTAGTCTAGATTTCCCTCCCACAAGCTGTGGAGAAGGACTTTTATATAGGGTAGGTGGGAATATCTTTCAGGCTCCTTTTTTACTGCACCAAATCTCAGCCCTGGGGGACTCAGGGTGGGGCAGGGATGCCCATGTGGTCCCCCCCTTCCACCCACTCCCCCGTCATGCCCACCATCCCCCCTTCCTGTATTGTGCATTTAATTAATGCAATTACCATTTACAGGGTGCTGTGAAATAGGCCTGCTGCTGGTTCCAGCCTGGAGGAAATGAATGACATCACTTCTCAGCTTTATAGCTGGGTTGGGGGGGGCAGGTCCCTGGGCCTCCTCCCTGAGTCTAATTGGGGGTGCCACCCATCCTTCTGTCTGCCACATTGCATTTGGACACGTCTGACCTGGTTCAGTTGGGACACAGGCACCCTGCACTAATGAGGCAGCGCCTTGCAGGGAGAACCTTGCGGGTGAGCCCACCCCACATTGCTGCCCCGCCCTAAATCACATGCCGGACCCCAGCCTCTGGGAAAGGGTTAGAGTTCACCCCGCATCAGGAGGTTAAACCATCACCTCTTGTGAAGGTAAACACTCAGCTGGCGGATCATGTCCCTCTGCCACAAAGTTGCTATAGCCTCTGGGATGGGCGATGTATTGTTCTTAAAACTAGAATTCACGACTGCCTTGTCTCAGGCACAGCAGTTAAGGCACGTGCCCTGGACTGCCTAGGCATGAGTCTTGGCGCTGCCACCTTGTTGGGTGACTTAATTAATTCATCTGAGCCTGTGGAGAGCAGGTTGATAACAGGACCTGCCTCAGGATCGGGTGGGGGTTAAGGGTGGTTTGTGTACTGCCTTTAGCTTAGGGTAGGGACCCAGGAACTGTTAGAACAGTGGGGTGGCAAGGCACAGTTCTTAAGCCAGCACGGAAAAATCCCTCAGGAAGGTGCCACCTCTTTCAGGGAGGTAACCCAGCCCATTGATCCTCTAGCGCTGGAATGATACACTAGATAAAGCAGTTGGCTTGTCTTGGGGGCCATATTATCCAGGAAGTGGTGGGAAGAGGTGAGGGTGATTTTTATCTACCATCACACACCAATTTCTGGTGCTAATTTCTTCCTGTTGCCAAGAGCATGTAGTTTAAGTTTGTGTGTTCTTAACGTTTTCGGGACTTGATTTGAACATTTGAACAAGCCACATTGGTCCAGTGTGTATTATGTTGCTTAATCTATCTGCCTCAGTTTGTGCATCTGTAAAACAGGGATCATACCTACCACATTTATTTTTTTTTAAAGACTATTTATTTGACAGACAAAGCGAGAGAAGGAACACAAGCAGGGGGAGTGGGAGAGGGAGAAGCAGGCCCCCCCGCTGAACAAGGGAGCCTGATGCGGGGCTCGATCCCAGGACCCTGGGATCATGACCTGAGCGGAAGGCAGATGATTGACTGAGCCACCCAGGCGCCCTTGTACCACATTTAAAGATTAAATGAGTTAATACAGGTAAAGCACAGAAGTGTTGCATATATAGTAGTAAACACTGAAAAAATTACTGTATCATTAGGCGAGAGGATTTGTTTACCTATGTGAGGAGGGCCAGATGATGCTTTTTGGAGCAGAAGTGTATAGAGAGAAGGCTTCCTGACTTTACCCATGTGGATTTGAAGTCTGAGTAACCAGCAGGTATGTGGTGTAGGGATGGGGAGGGCTTCCAGGTGGAGGGGGGCTGGCAGCAGCACATGCCTGGAGGCGGGCCTTAGAATGTAGTCAGGGTAGGGAGAGGAACTGCACTGGGTATCTTTCAGTGGGCATGGGTTCTAGATGCTGATGTGTGTTGTGGCAGTAAGGAGGCAAGGGAAATTACTGTCCATGCAAACCTAGGACGATGAAGACTACAGAGAAGGAGTTTTGTATGAAATCACATGATCGAATTATGCAATCGAAAGGGGGTAGTTTTGCTGGTCATGTCGCCAAGGACACTTAGAATTGGTTGGTTTCCTTGTCTGAACCTTCCCCCAGTGCCCATGGGTCTAGTTCCTAGAGGTAGATTTTTTCCTGAATGTCCACATCTGACTTTGGGAAGGTGCACTGCCCCCGTGTCAGTCTGGTGGCCTGGCGGTCAGGTTGGCACTGCTGAGGCCCTAGGGGAAGGCCTGAGGTAGTTAATCATTGTCCACTCTGGGCTGCTGGCTCCACCTGGGCCTGTTTAGGAGGGAGGCTCCTGACTGACACAGTTAAGGGCTGTCTGAGGGAATCCTGGGCTCTGGACGAGTGGGAAGTAATGGCCCTCAGTTTCAGCCTCTGACCTGCTTGCTACCAGCTCCTGCGTAGAAGCCCTGGCTGCCCGTTCCTCCCCTAAGCTTCTGTGGACCCTTGGTCTCTGGCACCCGTGACCCAGTCTCCCACCCTGTGTTAGGCCACCCAGGTTACTTAGTTCACTGGTTTGGCCCTGGGGCAAGACACTGGGAATTAATTATTACTTTGAACCACACTCCAGCAGTTTTCCCTGGGATTTTGGCTGCTTGGCCTCATGGGATCTGGCCATAGGTCAGCCAGCCTTTTCTTCCGGGTCAGGGCTTGGCAGTGAAAGAGGCTGAGAAGCAGCTGATGGGGCTAGGTCCAGTATTCCTCTTTTCCCCTGGGGCTGGTGAGCTTCCTTAACATGTATTGAGAGAAAACAGACCAGGAAATGTGAGCCTGCACATCCTGGGCCACGTGGGGTAAATGCCACACTATGCTGTGGATAAGTATACATTTAGAACCAGAACAGTGCTGTTTTAACATGCATATAATCACCCAGGGATCTTTTGAAAATGTTGGTCTTGACTTAGTAGGTCTAGGGCCATGCCTGAGATTTTGTAGCTCTTAGCCATCTCCCAGGTGATTCCAGAGTCGCTGGTCCCTGGGTCTTACGGGAAATGTAGCAGAGGTCTAGCAGCCAACACCCAGGCCTGGGGGAGGGACAGGTTATGTCCCGTATCCACCTGGGGGCGCTGCAGTACAATTCAGACAGCCCCACATCGCCTCCTGGTGGACGTGGTGCCACATCCCCAGCAGTCTGCAACTCTATAGCCTTGACTGATGCTTCTAGAAGGTACCCTGGGAGGCTAGTGTGGGTCATCTGGTACCATGTGGTGAGTCCCCAAGATGGGGCGTAGGGCTGGGAGTGCTCAGTGCTGATAAGCGGCCCTTGGCTGGGAAATCTTTTTTTCAAGAAAGGGTCCAGAACAATAGGGTGTGATGCCAAATAGCTCTGGAGCAGTTTGGGGAAAACCAAGGGATGGGAGTCTGGGGGCCTCACCCTGTACCTAGGCTCCATTTTTACCTTGGCCTCACCTCTTCGATGTGATTTTTGACCTTGGAGACTAACCCAGTCTGTGTGTCAGTTTTCCTGTTCTATAAAATGGGCCCATCACATTATTAGGAGGAATAAATGAGAGAAAGGTGCCGGTTCTAGCAGCTAACATATGTTGCAGGCCAGGTCGAGGTCACAGAGCCCTTGAACCCATCAGTGAAGACCTTGCCTGAGCTGGTGGTCTTAGCTGAATAGCCTGGTGATGATGCAGTTACCAGGAGGGGCAGCAGTGGGGAGACAAAGGCCCAGAGGTGGGGCAAGGCTGGAGCAGATGGGGAGCATGCTCCTTGTTAACTGCCCCAGTCCTTTGCCTGTGCTCCTCCATCCTTTCCCTTCTTGGGAACTTGGGACTCTGAGCCCCAGCTGGTGAGGGAGGAGGGGAGTGAGCGACAGGCCAGCAGACCAATGGGCCCCTGAGGTTGGGGTGGGGCGGGGCTTGTGCTGCCATGGAGAGGAGAGAAGCTGTTCTGTGGGGGAGGAGGGGGCGGGTGGGAAGAGGACCTGGAGATTGAGGGGAAGGGAGAGAGCAAACAAAGGGGTCAGGAGGGAAAATAATGCACTGGCTTCCTGAGGCCCTGCGGAGGCTGGGCAGGGAGAGGGGGCCAGGGGCAGAGGGGACCAAGGCTGGCGGCAGGCAGGCCGGGGCAGGCGGGTCCTAAATGGCATTGTTTGAAGTGGCCGGCTAATTGCACAGAACAGCCTAAGCCTCAGACCACAGCCCAGCCCCCTCCTCTGTCCTGGGTGCTGGTATCTGAGCCTTCGGGCCGCCTGGCCACATGGAACCAAGTCCTGAGCCTCCGAGTTTGGTGAGGGGGGCAGGCTATGGGGGGCAGCCTGGGTGGGGTCCTTGGGCAGGAGTATCACCCGGAGAATGTCAAGGGGCCTCTGTTGGCCTGAGGACATAGAGCCATTGGCGGGAGGTTTGGGGTGTGCTGCCCCCTTGTGCCCTTGCTTCCCTGCTACCCTACCCATTCTGGCCCTCCTGCAGGAAACAATGAAGGGAGACACCAGACAGCTCAACAGAGAGGAGGACGCCAGCGGGAGGGAAGACTCCATCATCACTAATGGGGGCTGCAGCGACCAGTCTTCTGACTCCAAGGATGCGCCCTCACCCCCTATCCTGGAGGCTATCAGCACCCCGGAGATCAGAGGTGGCCGGGCCAGTGGGGAGGAGGGGTGGGACAGGCACTGCAGACAGCAGCAGCTGGGACATGAGCCTCGGAGCAGGCTCAAGGCAGGTTGTGGGGAGAGGGTCTGGTCTCTGACAGGCTCTGCCATCCCTCTCGGAGAAGGGAAGTGGTTGTGGGCAGAGCCCAGCCCATTTCTCGTCCCTGCCCACGGGCCCTTGCTCCCCCTACTGCCCCCACCTCAGCTGGGATTCTGGGGAGTTAACCCCAAGGTGATGACACCTGTCCTTTTCCAGCCATGATGGGGGGTGGTTGCAGCATAGGCTGCGGTCTTTGGCCCTTTTGCAGTGGGACCCCTCTCCCCTTGTAGCTGGGATTGTGATTATGTGGGAAGAAGACACTCAGGTGGGGAGGGTCTGAGGCCTGCTTCCTTTCCCATCCTTCCCTTCCCCACCCCTCTCCTGCACAGTTCTGGATCATATCACCTGTGGTCCTCCCCACTGAGATTTTCTGACCCAGCTGGTTTGGAAAACCCTGTATTGTCCCACCCTGCTTTTGAAATCCCCTCGAGCTGTGCTGTCTAATAGAACTTTCCGTGAGGATGAAAGTGTTCTGTTTTCTGCATTGTTCACTATAATAGCCACTAACCACATGTGAGCACTTGAAATGTGGCTGATCCGGCAGGCACTGGATTGTTCATTAGTTGTAGTTTGGTGGCCACAATTCTGAAAGGAATTTGATGCCTTCCCTCATGAATACCTTCAGTATTGTTTTTGATTCTGTTATGTGCTCAGCTCTGCCCTGTTGCCTTATGAATACATTGACAGGACCACAGATCCTGAGGGGCTAGGAGTTAAACCCTGAGGATGCCAGTGGGTTTAGAGAGAGGAGACGCCAGGGACAGCAGGTCAGCAAAGGACGACACGGCTGCTTCCCAGCCCGGAGGGCTGCCCCTTCCTCCAAACAGACTCTGGTTCTTTATTCCAGTCCGTAGATCAAGTTCACGGCTGTCCAAGAGGGAGGTCTCCAGTCTGCTAAGTTATACTCAGGTATGTGCTCTACTGTCCTTTTTTCAAGGTTCCAGGGGAATTCCCTTGAGCTTTCATTAAATGGGGAATTTGAGGCCTCCTCTAAACTGGTACCCAATAAATACTTGTTGAATGCTGAATTTCAACACTGCTAAGCACTGAGAGGGCTTCAAACAACCTCATGAATGATGGCACTTTTTGTTGTTTATGTGCCAAGTCTTAAAATCATAAACATTTATTTTACTAAATTACAAAGTTTTTTACTGAATGCCTATTTATTTATTTTAAAGATTTTATTTATTTGACAGAGAGAGACATAGCGAAGAGAGGGAACACAAGCAGGGGGAGTGGGAGAGGGAGAAGCAGGCTTCCTGCAAAGCAGGGAGCCTGATGCGGGGCTCGATCCCAGGATCCTGGCATCATGACCTGAGCCGAAGGCAGACGCTTAACGACTGAGCCACCCAGGCGCCCCACTAAATGCTTATTTAGCATATTTTTTGAAATTGTCTTTTTCTCAGTGGATGATCAATTACATTGATAAATTTCTTTTTTTTTTTAAAGTTTTTTTTTATTCATAAGAGAGAGAGAGGCAGAGGGAGAAGCAGGCTCCCAAGGAGCAGGGAGCCCGATGCGGGACTCGATCCCAGGACCCTGGGACCATGACCTGAGCCGAAGGCAGATGCTTAACCATCTGAGCTACCCAGGCGCCCACATTGATAAATTTCTAATGTAGTAAACTGTCCTTTTTATTCCTGGAGTGAGCCCAATTTGGTTGTGGTATGTTTTGAATTTGATTTACTTTAGCATCTGTTCCTGAATAAAATGGATGTATGATTTTATCAGAATATATCTGTGTCCGGTTTTGATAATCAGGGTTATGTGGCCTCAAGGAAATTTTTTTCCAAGATGGAAAGAACTTGCCTGGCTTGTTTCAGGAGATTTTAAACAATCATTGCAAGATCTTTGAATACTTGCTGCAAGGTTTCTACATGATAAGTTTTTTTCCAAGTTACAGTTGTTCATAATTTTTTTTTTATCCCTGACCTCATTTCTGCTTTCTGTGTTCTTATTAATTATAGTAGTTCTTTTTCACTTGGGTTACTCTTTTGGAGAACCAATGTCCGGCACGGGGCACAAAGTTATGGACAAATGGAAGTTCACATTCGCACAGCTTCTGTTCTGCTGGAGAGCAACCAGTGGGCACCCAGATGGCTAGAGTAAGAGCCTTGTGGATATTTGGGACCGTGTGCTCTGGACAGCCGTTTGAGTTCTGATGGACCATTACCAGCAATGGGAATGGAACCTCCTGACTGAGCATTTCCTCTGAGCCTGGCCTTGGGCGAGGCATGCATCATTCATTCTCATTATCACCCTGTTGTGCTACAAGGGAATTATTGTTAGAGTTTTAAAGAGAGGAATGGACTCACTCAAGGCCACAAAATTGGCAAATGAAAAATCCAGTTCTTAACACAACAGCTGGGCTTGGGGCTGCTCACTAGCGCTCCACTTTATGTGCCCAGTTCTTTGCGTTTTGCTCTGGGGCATGGGACATGTACTAGGGGTTCTACATGATTTGACACAGAATTGGTGCTGTTTCTTCCTGGTAATGGTATCAAGAAGCATCTTTCTTGAACCTTTGATTTCTCCCAGACACTCAATTGTGCAACATGACCAGCTCTCCCTGCTGGGCATAGCCACATGAGTCTCCCTGTGGTGTACATAGGGGAGCCTTGACAACACCTATTGAATTCATACCCTATCTTGGGCTTCCTGATTTCACTGGGATTTTATTTTTCAATCACATCTTGAATTTGTGATCCCCACTGTAAGCCATTGTGTAAAGTATGTTGAGCAACATGTGGTAGTTGAAAATATTTTGAGGTCACTTGGGCCAAAATGATTGAATCTGGATTCCTAAACCATTTTGATTATGTGACCTTTTAATGACCTTTACCGTTTCTAATGCTTCATTTATAAAGGATCTGACGGGTGATGGAGATGGTGAGGGGGAAGACGGAGACGGCTCTGACACCCCAGTGATGCCCAAACTCTTCCGTGAAACCAGGACTCGGTCTGAAAGCCCAGCTGTAAGTCCCCCGCCCCTCAGCCAGGGCCCTTCCAACCACACATAGGCCTGAATGAAAAAAACCTGTCTTGGATCTTCCTTTCTCCTTGGAGCTTTGGAGAGCGAGGTGAACAAATGTTTTGAAATTGGAAAATGACAGCAAGGTTCGTGCACTATCGTTGTGAAGGCTTGCTTTCATGTGGCAGGTTTTCAGCTCCTTGGACATTCCTGGCTTTTAAGTGCCCAAGAGTGGATAGTTTGTAGGTGGATGGCTCAACTGTCAGTTACCTTTGGGAGTCACTTCTGTGACTTACAGGGTGAGGTCTAGAAATAGGAAGGCAGTCTTCGCTAATGGTCACCCAGCCTGTTAAAGAGCAGGTGAACACTTGATGGCCATTGCAGGGCTAGCTTATAATCTCACCCAGCATATGATGTATATCATGCCCTTCTTACAGATGAGAGAAGATTTCCAGTAACTTACCCAAGGTTAAATAGTAATTCCTTTTAAAATCTTTTTAATTTTTTTTTAAGATTGATTGATTTTAGAGAACGAGCAAACGGGGAGGGGCAGAGGGAGAGAGAATCCTGAAGCAGACTCCTTGTTGAGTGTAAAGCCCTATATGGGGCTTGATCCCAGGACCCTGAGATCATGACCTGAGCCGAAAAATCCAGTTGGCTGCTCAACCAGCTAGACCATCCAGGTGCCCCATAAACAGTCATTCTTGTGTGCAGGATTTGAATACAGAAGTGCAACACCCACATTCAAGCCATTTTGAGAAAGGAGCCTAAGGGCTTCTCATCCGTCTTGATGATCGAGTGCCTTCCTAAAGAAGGCAACAATTATTCCATTGCTGTGGTTGAGGGGGGGTAAATGTTTGGTTTGGATTTTAGTTTTCCATTCAATCTGCAGGTGCCAGCCGCCTTGGCCAGGCAGCGTGGGATCTGCCGTGGACTGTTGGCAGGCTGCTGACACCCTACCCCCTTCTCCCACTAACTGGGGAGTTTCGGGGCGGGGGGGGTCCACATGACCCATCCAGAGTTCTTCCCTGACTTAACCACCTCGTTCACTTTCACTGATGTGAGGCGACCTCTCAAGACCAGTTCTCTTGGCCCCCTGTCTGGAACGCCATGCCTGTAGTCACCAAAGCCCTCGTGCTTATCCTCTCTTGCTTTCAGGTCCGAACCCGAAATAACACCAGTGCCTCCAGCCGGGAGAGACCCAGGTCCTCCCCGCGTTCCACCCGAGGCCGGCAGGGCCGTAATCCTGTGGATGAGTCCCCCGTGGAGTTCTCAGCTACCAGGGTTGGTTCCCCGGATACCCCCAGTCTCTTTAAGTGGAAGATCGGCCTCTCTCACCGTGCCACCCGAAGTGGCTGGTGTGCAACCTCCGTCCGGTCTTCACTCTTAGCACCTTTTCAGGGGCTTCCCTTACCTCTCTCTCCTGGTTGCCGGGTAAGCTTCTTTTAAGCCCGACGACTTCTCTCCTGGCCTGATCCTGGATGGAACTCGGGTGGGAATGTGTGAATTCCCTGCTGACTGGGTTCTTGCTCCTCCTCAGAATGAGTTCAAGTACTACTGACTCTAGAACTGTTTTGTCTCCCTGGTATCTTCTTTGACTGTCTTGAGGCAACCCCAGTGTTTTTCTCCACTCCTGTCGCAAGGCTGGCACACAGTAAGCATTTAAGGAAACCAGCGGCCCTCTCTGAGCTTGGCTCTCAGAGCCTCTCGGCCTCCTTTGTTATTCTGCCTTTGTCCTCGATTCTGTCTCTGTTCTGTTGGAAGTTGCTTTTTATCCCACCACTTGAGGGATACTGGTTCCCGGAAAACCGTCCTTGGTGGTCTTTGTTCTCTTCAACTTAACGTCTTCACTGTTTCTGCTTGCTTGGGAAGCAACTGGGGGTTCCACTGGTCTCTGGTCACCGACCTGGTTTGCTGTCACCCCAGTTCCATGTCCTTCTGTCCACAGTCCCTCAGGCGGCGGACAGTATCCTTGGCAGGCACGCCGTGGCCGTCCCCAGCCAGCCCCTACCTCACCATTGACCTCACGGATGACGATGTGGTGCCCCAGAGCAGCAGTACGCCCTACACCCGCTTGGCCCAGGACAGCCAGCAGGATGGCCTCGAGTGCCCACAGGTGGACGCAGAGGGTAGAGATGCCGACAGTGCCGAGTATCAGGTACCCTAAGAACAGCCTAGATAATAGGGAAGAACAGACGTTTACCCAGCGGGGGCTAGTCCTACCTTTTTGTGGGGGCCACTTCTATTGTAATATTTGAATTTCTTTAGCATATAGATTTTCCATATGCAACGTGTCCCTCCTTTATCCTGCTTCTCTGCCAGACATAATTCAAACACCTGATTAATGAATTCACAAATGTCAAGTGTTGGTACCTCCAAATATATGTACCTCGTTTGTATATGTAATACGAGGCGTGATTCTGTTCATCATATTTTATGTACAGTTGTAGACTAGTTAACTTTATTTGTTAGGAGCTGGAGTTGCCTCACGCTCACATCTTTAATCCACTGTATTATGTGATCCATCTTATGTGTCATTCACGACTAGCCAGTCGGGCTTGCTTCACTCCAGCACTGCTGTGTACATACGTATGTGTGTCTAATTCTGTTGCGTAGAAATCTTTTTTTCTATGTATATCAGACTGTACATCTATTTGAATAACTTGTTTTTTCATGGGCATTTACATTTTATGGTAAGCTTTTTGAGGCCCATGGTGGGAAAACCCAGGGGATTGTCATGATGTAACTCTGATCTTATTTCCTGTGAGTTTTCAGTTGACATCTTTCATTCCCAGATAGAGGTTAAAGGTTACAGGTGAAATTTTACAAATCTAATAAATCCCATGTTCCTATCAAAAAACCAAACTGACCCCTTATATTCAAGGGGTTCTTACTCACATTTCTTATTTTTTTAAAGTAATGCCCTAAGTTGTACCCTGGGGCAATGGCCCTTGGGGTTAGTGGGGTGGGCAGGATTTTTCCTTGGCCTAGGTGATCTGTCTCATTGGGATTCCTTCGTGTGTTTTTTTTTTCCAGGATGGGAAGGAGTTTGGGATAGGAGACCTTGTGTGGGGAAAGATCAAGGGCTTCTCCTGGTGGCCTGCCATGGTGGTGTCATGGAAGGCCACCTCCAAGCGCCAGGCCATGTCTGGCATGCGGTGGGTCCAGTGGTTTGGTGACGGCAAGTTCTCTGAGGTGAGTCCAGGGCTAGGCAGGTTCTCATGGGCCACAGACCCATTTCCTGTGTTTTCTTCACTTCCTTTTATACTTGACTCTTTAATGTGAGTGGCCTGTGACTGCTTTCTCCAGATGGGTGAGGCTCTTTGACTCCTTGTGCCTAGGAAGGACAAAAATTTGTTAACTGGCTTAAACAGATATATAGGGTCTCACAGGCCCAGAGCTCATTCTGTCTAGTCTTATAGGAGACAAAGAGCAGGAAAGTCCTCTGAAGCCATTTATGGGCACTTGTGCTCTGTTGGTTTTTATTTCTCGGGGTAGAGTCACCAGGATGGATTCCTGGGCAGACGCCCTCAAAGATTTTCCTTAGAGAAGCCAGGAAGAGACGGGAAGGGTGGTCTCTGCTTCTGAGAGGTGTGGGGAGGGGCATGGGAGGAGAGGTGGGCCTAGGGCCACCGCAGAGTACTGATTTCAGGGTTTGTTGGTTATTGGTGTTAACCTTTTTTTTAAAGATTTATTTATTTGAGACGGAGGGTAGGGGGGAAACAGAAGCTGAGTGCAGAGCGGGACACAGGGCTTAATCTCATGACCCTGCGATCATGACCTGAGCTGAAATTAGGAAGTCAGATGCTTAACAGACTACGCCACCCAGGTGTCCCAATCTTTATGGGTGTTTTTTTTTTTTTTTTTTAATGTTAACCATTTTTAGTTCCTTCTTGATGAGAGTCTGGGGTAAGAGCTCTGTTTGTTGGGCATGAATCCTGCAGTTCTGATTCTTAAACCCTGTCAAAGGCACATTCTGAGATCTTCTCGGGTTGTGATGAGAACAGTGCAGGCAGTTCTTTGCCTGTGATGGTCTCTTTTCGAAATGTTAGTCCAACCTTCACATCCAGAGGTTCGATGAGGAACAACAGCAAGCTGGGTTGGGATGGAGGCAGATGTGGGAATGGAGGACGATTCAGTACATCTGTGGGATTTGGCCTCAAATTGAGGTTCTTTTTTTTTCCCCCATGATTTGGGATTTGCTGTAAACACACTGAAATTCCCAGAGGGCGAGATAAATAGGACCTGGAGTCTTCCCTGGTAGGTAGAATGCATGTAGAAACTCTCTCTTTGGCCAGCAGAGGGAGCAGGATGACAAATGTGCCAAATGCGGGCCTTTGCTCTCCCGGAAGCATCTAACTGCAGGGATACGGGCCATGAGTTCTGTGAAATGAAGAAACATGGATTGTTTGTAATTACTTTGGCCCAATGAGACCTATAATGAGCTTTGCAAGACTGGGTCTAATGCTAATAAAATGAAGTGTGGGGCTGTTAGCATAGTAGTAAGGGATTGCAACACAGATCCTTGTGCTTGGGCTACACACAGCACGAGAGCAGTTAGTGCTGGGATCAGCACCTGCATTTCTGTGTACAGTCACACTGATCCCCAGTTTCGTATAAATGGTGGCAACAGCCCCTCGTGGGAGGTCAAGATGAGAGGTGTAAAACGGAGGTTGGCATGAGAATGAGCATGCACCGTGTAGGGAAGGAGACGTCCCATGGTTCTCTGGGCTGATCAGAATCCCCGAACACCAGTTTCATCTCATCCCACCGGCAGCCTGATTTGTTCGTGCACGGCCAGGGGACTTAGGTGTGAGACTTGTGGACTATAGGTATTTAGCCCCAATGTAAGGCACATAGCAACAAATCACACTTACTCTGTGCCAAGCACTGTTCACTAAACCTGTACATTAAATTAATTCTGTTAATAAAAGGCTATATCACAGCTGTTTGTCATGCTTGTGAATGAGGGAAGAACATGTGCAAAAGCACCAATGTTGGAGCATCCACTGTGAACGTCAAGACGGAGATGGGGCCCCACACCAAGGACAATGTGGGTCCAATGTACTTAGAATTTACACAATTACAGGGTGCATCTGGCTGTATCCATTTGGAGCATCCTACTTTCTCCCATTTGGAGTGTTGTGTTCACCATGCTTCTGTCGATAGGGTGTGTCAGAGGCTGTGCTCCCGTTTGTTTTCTACTTTTCTCTTCTCTTCTTTTTAGTCTGTAGCTTGATCCCCAGGAATAAGCCTGGGAGAGACATAGGACACGTCAGACACCAGCTGTAAATGGATGTTGATGATGGCTTTCTCTTCCAGGTGTCTGCAGATAAGCTAGTGGCCCTGGGGCTGTTCAGCCAGCACTTTAACCTGGCGACCTTCAATAAGCTGGTCTCTTACAGGAAGGCCATGTACCATGCGTTGGAGGTAACATGGTAGTGGGTGGTGAGGGCCTGGCCTCGAAAACAGAGGTAAAGCAAGAGACTTCTAGGAGGCCAGCTCAGGCCACAGTGTGCCCAATAGCATGGAGGGGCAGAGCCACCAGGCAGGAAGTGTATGCAAACATGACAGTAGCCCATTGACTAGGAAGGAAAAGGAGGGATTTGAGATTGCCCATGAGTTTCCAGGACTACCCCCCAGCTTCTATGCCTACTGACAGAGGGAAGAGGAGCCCTCGAGGGCAGGAGACAATATTCATATCTGTGAATAAGTTTTTGCAGAGCCTCAAAGCCTCTTTCCTTTGGTGTGGTTTGAGGTCCAGACTGGAGAGCACCTGAGGCCAGCTGCCTCCTCTCCTTGTCTGTGGGGGATCCATCAGGTTCCATCACTCCTTCTACTTTGATTTAGAAATGAAATGTTTTGTGGCCTTGGTCCAGCATTTATGAGCCAGGCTTTGTGCTTAATTAGACGTGTAAAACTTCCTGGTGCCTTTGTAATAGGACTTAATACTTCCCCACTTCAGTAGGGAAATAAAAGAAGAAATCTGAAGCTTCTCAGACGCAGTGAGACATGCTGGCTGATGCTTCTCCTCTATCTAAAAGTGACAGAGCTGATCCTCTGCCCTTTGAGAGGGAGCTGAGCACTCAGGCCCCTACAGGGGAGAGATCATATTTGGTATCTGCATGGAGAGACTTAATTTCCCCCTCCATGGCCTCCTGCCTGTCTCCCTACACAGGCCCCTCCTCCCTGTCACATACCACTGCTCAGGACAGCTGCTGGGCTATCAAAGGGACCAGTGTGAAAAGGAATGCAGGCCCCAGCAGGGGGAGTCCCTGGGTGTGGCCTCGCTAGCACCTACCCCTCCTGTTGATCATAGCCTCTTTTTCTCCACAGAAAGCCAGGGTACGGGCTGGAAAAACCTTCCCCAGCAGTCCTGGAGACTCATTGGAGGACCAGCTGAAGCCCATGTTAGAGTGGGCCCATGGGGGCTTTAAGCCCACTGGGATTGAGGGCCTCAAACCAAACAACAAGCAACCAGGTGGGACTGGGTCCCTGGGCAGCACCCACCATCCACTGCTGCTGGGGACCCTCTTGGGAGATGTAGTCACCCCTTGCTGCCACCTACCCTATCCTGGCTTCCAGCAAGCTGCCAGGCCTGGAGCTCTGTCACCCTGTGAACCCCCAGGGAAGCTGGAAAAGCAAACAGTCCAGCCTTTCCCAGATTCCCTAGTCACTTTTCCTGCTGAAGGTCAAGTACAAGTAATTGGAATTGAATCTGTTGTGAAAACTTGAGTAAATAGAAGGCCAAGATGGAATCTTCACTGGTGCCCTTTTTTAAAGGAAAAAATAATTAAGCTATGCTCATTGGAGAAAACCTGGAAAGTGTTACCCCCCCGCATCCCCCCAACCCCATAAGCCACCTCCATTCAGAAAGACGTATCTCCCATCCTAAGGGTTTGACCAGTACCATAATTCCTCTAAGATAAGTGTTGTTTCACATTGTTACTCAGGAAATCCCAGATGCCTGAAATCCAGGATTTGTCTTAAGAATCCATACATTTAACATAGTATTTTCTGTTTTTGTTTTGTTTCCCTCCCCCCACAAATAAGTGGTTAATAAGTCGAAGGTGCGTCGTGCAGGCAGTGGGAACTTAGAATCAAGGAAATACGGTATTCCCTTCCCATATTTTGACTATACACTATTTTCTTTGCACTTTCTTTCCATTTCTTGCATATACAGGGGTCACTGGGAAAGAATCCAATCTTGTAAAAAGTCAACCTGAGCCCTCACCCACCCCTTCACTCCCAACCCTCACAACCGCCCTCCAGGTTAACGTTGGGTGTGCACATCCTTCCAGTTCTTCCTGTACACTAGTTGGATTCTTGCTTTCCCTTCATGTCTCAATTATAATAGTGTATGCACTGTCAGATGTAATTTTGTCACTAAAGGGCCTTTATTATTTCTAATGGCTGTATAATTTTCTTTAACCATGTTCTTTACAGATGATATTTATAGATTGAATGAAAATATAACAGGAATTTATAGAAACATATAAACAATGGCCACATAATATAAATTTTTGCAACATTGGAAAAAGTACAAAAAAAGGGTGAAATCAGTGTAAACCCAATATCTCCAGCATTTTGCCATTTCTAACTGTCTGTATAAAAATTAATGAGAATTTTACATTTTCTTTTAAGCAGCTTTCAAAATCTATTATTTTGACGTGTCATATGATCTCTCAATTTTTATGCTACGTTGTCATAAGAAACATTAGATTTATATTTTTATAGATGTCCCAAGTTCCAAATGAGACAGTTGATTGGCCCCACTGGCGGGTTTTGAGTGTGCATCCAGATTAAATGTAAAATGCAGTCACTCAGTTACGCAAATAGCATCTCAAATGCACAGTCACTGCATGTGGCTATTAGCTCTCAAGCCGGGCCTCCGAGACCAAGCTTTGTCTAATTTTCCTTGTGCTGGGTCTATGAGGATGAGTTCTGTAGCACCCATTGCTGTTTAGACCCCAATAAATACATAGTGAGGGATTTTGAATTCTGTCCTCGTCTGAGTTACCCACAGATGGGCTGTAGGACACCCAGTGTGGACCCATGTCATGGCCCAGATGCAGGTGGGCACCCTGGCATTGCATGGTTCTGTCCCAGGCCCCTGTTCTCCCCATATCTTGGCACTGGCTGCCATCTCCTTACCTTTCACAGAGAACAAGACTCGAAGACGCACAGCTGACGACTCGGCCGCCTCGGACTACTGCCCACCACCCAAGCGCCTAAAGACCAACTGCTGTAACAATGGCAAAGACCGAGGCGAGGAGGACCAGAGTCGAGGTGATCATGGGCCAGTGAGGAGGCTGGGGGAGCGATCTCACCCGCGGTCAGCTTGGGACTGTCAGGGGTGGATGGCAGGAAGGGCCATTCAGCAAGGGACTATCAGAGCTGATTGAGGAAGGGGCTCCCTGACTCCGTGTCACACTTTCTCTTTTCTCAACAGAACAAATGGCTTTGGATGTTTGCAACAACAAGAGTAACCTGGAAGGTAATGTGCTTTTCCCTTGTCTCCCCTTCCACGCCCTGGGCAGTGCTCAAGACCGACCTCAGCCTGCCTTGCCTGCCCTGCTGGAGTCTGACCCAGAGCTCTTGTGCCTTGGCCTCGGGTTGCTGTGGGCTCATCTTTGTTGCTGCATTTAATAGAATGTGTTGCCTGATTTTCATGGAGGCTGATTCTGCCCCTGTGAGTGAGCAAAGAGGGTGGGGTTGGGGCAGTTGGGCCCAGAGAACCCCAAACCTGAAACCGCTATCTGTGGCATCTTGAGCCTTCCCCAGACAAGAACTGGAACAGGCTTTGAGGTGCGAGGTGCCAGGTCACTCTCAAGTCACCTCTGGTCTGTTTGTCCTGGCTGGGAATTAGCCAGCCACTGGATTTGAAACTCTGCCCAGAATGTATCTAACGGAATTCAGAATGTGTAAGCATAAATGGATTCTCCCTTGTTTCCTTAGCCTAATGTCCTTTAGTTAACAAGTATTTATTGAGTGGTTATCTCAATGCTGCGTAGGGAAACAGCACAGCTCCTGACCCAGAACACCCTGGGGAAAGCTCAGGTTTGGAGCAGTCCCTGTCAGTCCTGGAAACCTTGACCCATAATCCTCCCATTCCTCAAGACTCAGCACCCATCTGTGTTGCCTGGCTGGGGATGCTTGGTCTCAGGCATTTTTTTTTTTTAAGATTTATTTATTTATTTTAGACAAGAGCGTGCCAGCAAGTGGGTGGGAGGGGCAAAGGGAGAGGGAATCTCAAGCAGACTCTGCTGAGAGTGGAGCCCAATGCATGGCTCAGTCTCATAACCCAGAGATGACTATGTGACTGAAACGAAGAGTCGGATGCTTAACCCGACTACACCACCCTGGCACCCAGGTCTTAGGCATCTTAATGGCCCTGCCCACATGATAAGTGCTGTGGATCAGTCCCAACTGCTGGTGTGAGGGCAAGGCAGGATATCCTAAAAGGAAGGTACCCGTGTTCTGAATAGTATCCATGGCTGTGTGTACGGTTGGTGTAGGCAACTCTTAATGAAGACAAAAGCAATTGGAATCACCATAGATAACGCGAGTTTGTCTTTAAAGAGTCTCAAAGATTTCCATACCAGGCCCACCCGAGCAAGCCCCTGTGCTGGAGTGGCCTTTGCTCCCTGTCCTGCCTCAGGTTTTCCTCCTGGGCCAGGCCTTTGCCTGTCTTTGCGACCTCCTGCTTGGGGGCTCCCGTTCTGGCCTCTCCCCATCTTTGGAATGGGGTTGGCAACTTCGAAGCATTGCTGAAAGGAACAAAGCATGAGGAATCCTTGTGGTTTTGCTAGCCTGGAGTAACTATTCAAAAGCCGCTAGACTCAAGGCTTCAGCCCTGGTGTTGCGGCCGTAATTGCTGCAGACTGCATCCCTGTCTTACAGATAGCTGTTTGTCCTGTGGTCGGAGAAACCCCGTGTCCTTCCACCCTCTCTTTGAGGGTGGGCTCTGCCAGACGTGCCGGGTAAGTCCTATCCCCGCCCTGGGCTTTCCTGCCCCTTCCCGCTACTCCCCTGAACTTTCCCAGAGAAAAGCACCTACGTGTCACTATAGGGAAGGCTCTAGTGAAGCTGTCCCCTCTGAGGGTTGGCTGCTGCAGCAGTGAGGTCGTCGTCCAGTGGCACGCAGACCCCAGCTGGTGGCCCTGGAAAGGGCGCCAAGCCACCGGTGACCTGTTCTGTGGCTGCGTCCTAGGGCCTCAGCCAGCGTACAGGCGGGGGCCTGGGGGTCCCTGGTTCCCGATTTCACTGGCGTTTCTGTCTGGCTGCCAGGACCGCTTCCTCGAGCTGTTCTACATGTACGACGATGATGGCTATCAGTCCTACTGCACCGTGTGTTGTGAGGGCCGCGAGCTGCTCCTCTGCAGCAACACCAGCTGCTGCCGGTGAGCGGGGCTGGGGGGGGGCGGTGAGCGGGGGCCGTGGGCCGTGAGCGGGGCTGGGGGGGGCGGTGAGCGGGGGCTGTGGGCCGCGAGCGGGGGCCGTGGGCCGTGAGCGGGGCAGGGTGGGGGCGGCGGCCAGGCCTGCAGCCCTGAGGGAGCCCCGGTAGCGGGCTGGGCCCAGGCCAGGCGTCCACAGGGCCATGGTCCCTGTGCGCTTGAAGTAGAACTGGGGTGGAGGGATAGGCTTTAAAAAGCTAGGTCCCTAGGGTGGGGAAGGCCCCCTGGAGATGGGCCGATTGTGGGGATGGGCCGGGGAACTTGACTGTGCAGCAGCCCGTGGGGGCTGAGGGTGCATGCGTTGGTCTCCACGGAAGAGGTCGGTGCAGCCCAAATCCTGGCACCGTGCCTTCCAGCCCGTGGGGAAGAGCAACGGGGGCCCAAGAAGGTTCCAGGCAGCCTGTTGCCATCTCCAGGGGGCCGGTGGGGGGAGACAGGGGAGCTGCCTGCTGACGAGGCCATCCTTCTCCCTTGCTGGCGGGCGCAGGTGCTTCTGCGTGGAGTGCCTGGAGGTGCTGGTGGGCACGGGCACCGCGGCAGACGCAAAGCTGCAGGAGCCCTGGAGCTGCTACATGTGCCTCCCGCAGCGCTGTCATGGCGTCCTCCGGCGCCGGAAGGACTGGAATGTGCGCCTGCAGGCCTTCTTCACCAGCGACACGGGGCTCGAATACGTAAGCCACAGGCTTCTTCCCACCCCCCTCCCCCCGCACCACCCACCCCGAGGGCTTCAGGGCTCTGGAGCACTCTGGAAGTCTGTTGGCAAGAGTTAATGGAAAAGATCATTGTACAGATGAGCATCCGAGAGCCTCAGACCTCGTCCTCTGTACAGTTGTCAGCCTTCTCCAGTGTTCCTCCTGCCCTCCTTCGTGCCCTCTCACTATATGGATTTTCACGGGCCTGCTGCAGAAATGGTTACAGAACTAACCAAGCCTTAGCCTTAGTGGAACCGAAGAGGGAAGGGAGACCTGTGACTTACTCTTAAATCATGGTGGGAATGGATTTTCCTGGGCCCCTGCCTGCATTTGATGGAGGGAGGGGAGGCTCCAGGTCATTCCGGGGTAGGGAACGTGTTTTTGTGTGTGTGTGCATCTGTATCAAAGTCGCATCTGTGTTCACGTCTAGGGTAGAATGGCCATTCCGTGCTAGAGCTCTCCAGGGGATCCCAGCTAGGAAGTTGTAGAGCCCAGGGTTTGTGACTCAGAGGAAGGTCAGCCCTCCTCTCCACCAGAGGCTGAGTCTTTACCCCCTGCACCGTGACTTCCATGACCTCCTTCTTTAACCTGGCAGGAAGCCCCCAAGTTATACCCTGCGATTCCCGCAGCCCGAAGGCGGCCCATTCGAGTCTTATCCCTGTTTGATGGAATTGCAACAGGTGAGTTTGGAGTTCACCTAGGGATGCTCACCTGCTCCAGGTGTCCTGTCATCAGTGCCAAGAAAGACCCCTGGGATGACCTGTTGGTCACTTGTTCTGAGAAAACCACTGGCTCCTTGTTTCTGTCCTTAAACCTCTCTACCATTTCCCCTACCGGGCCTTCTTTTGGGGCCTCTTTAAAGACAGGTGTATCTTAGCTGTGTTGGATTCTTTTATTATGTGCAGATATCTTAGAAAATTTTCCCATTCCATAAGGCTAGATCTGTTGGAGCTGAAGTAGGCAGCTCCTAATACCTCCAGTCTTGGTTCCCTCCCATTCCCCTCCCGTTGCTCAGGTATAGAATAAGCATAGTCAACATGCATGCCGCCCCTGGTGGACTTGCCTGATCTAATTCATTTAATTCAAAAAACTATCCTGTGATGTATTACAAACACCTCTATATTCCCAGAGAACGAAGCAGTAGAAAGGAGCTGCTACGCACTTTGCATCATTTGTACTTAATGTGTGTACTTCGGTGTCCAGATTCTAAAATCACTGACAGTTTTTAATGACACCCCTAGGTCACTACTCGTGCTTTGTTTTCCCCACTCTGTTTGGGTCTTAAAGACCTATTTGTGTTGGCGCAGATCACACCTAGTAGAACTGAGCCCTGGCCATGCCACCAAGCCTTGAGGTTCTCTATACGTGGTTTTGGTGAAGATTTGTGTCCGTGTGTCTGTGTTTGACTGTGCTAGGTGGTAGGTGCTGGGGCCTTGGCTATGTGCCTGTCCGTTCTGGTAGATCGTGCCGGTGGGCTCTACCAGTTACCCATATATTTTCTTCATGAAGCTCTGCCATCCAGGGAGCCCGGGGTCACCAGCGTTCTGTTTCTGTGCCATCTGCGTGGGTTCCCTCGAGGATGACCACGTCCCTGCTGGGTCTGGTCAGAGTTCTGGAGGTGGCTTAGTATCACTGGAGGGAGGGTGCCCTGGGAGGACAACCCTGATGCACTTTCTGTCCCCTGGTCCCCTACAGGGTACTTGGTCCTCAAAGAATTGGGCATCAAAGTGGAGAAGTACGTCGCCTCCGAAGTGTGTGAAGAATCCATTGCTGTTGGAACTGTGAAGCACGAGGGCAACATCAAATACGTGAATGACGTCAGGAACATCACGAAGAGAAATGTGAGGGCAGCCTGCACCTCTTCTGGGCTCTGCCCCACCCCCACTTCCTCCTCCATGCCCTGAGCCCCACACATCCTCACGCCCATGTGGTCCCCTTCCCCGTGCCCAGGGTTATGGTAGAAGAGCGAACCTGGGGTTGCATCAAGCTGTAGGAAGACCCACAAGTTGGCAGATTATTCAGAATGATTTAGATCTTAGGAACCTGGGGCATTGGGTTGTCTTGGGTCAGAAGTGGAGTTGGGAGACTTTACTGACCAAGTGAGATTCTAGAAGTGAGTTTTCTTTTTTTTTTTCTTTAAAGTAGGCCTCACACCCAATATGGGGCTTAAACCCATAACCCTGAGGTCAAGAAGTGTGTGCTCCACCAACGGAGCCAGCCAAGCACCCCTAGAAGGGGGTTTTCTTGATAGGTTACCTGGCACCTAGGCTGTATTCCTCCATCCTCACCCCCACAAAGAGTGACTGTTTTCCCTCACAGATTGAAGAATGGGGCCCCTTCGACTTGGTGATTGGTGGTAGCCCATGCAATGATCTCTCAAATGTGAACCCTGCCAGGAAAGGCCTGTACGGTGAGCATCCCTTCTTTCTGGTGGCCCTAAGAGATCCTCTGTCACCTGAGTGCTCTTGAGGAGGACTGTTTGTTTCTGGACAACTTTACCATTGTACGTCCTGTCCCCAGAGATAGTAATACTGGCCTGCTCATGCTTGTGTCCTTAGTCATTCCAGAGGAGTGCAGGTAGAAGGCCTGCAGGGTGTGGCTGTAGGCAGGCAGTCACTGGGAACCCATTGGTGTCAGTGTGGAGGGTGGGCTGAGGGGTGTGAACCTGGCTCTGCCATCTTCTTGTGTGGCTTAGAGGGTACAGGCCGGCTCTTCTTTGAGTTCTACCACCTGCTGAATTACACGCGCCCCAAGGAGGGGGATGACCGGCCCTTCTTCTGGATGTTTGAGAATGTGGTAGCCATGAAGGTTGGCGACAAGAGGGACATCTCTCGGTTCCTGGAGGTGAGGGCGCCTAGGGTCCTAATTGTCAAGACAACATGGGAGGGAAGGCCCTGTTGGCATTGGGAGGTGGTTGGGAGTGATTTCTGAGTTCTTAGTGGAGGACACGGCTAAATCCAAAACTAATGGAGTCATGTGGGTTGATTCTTTTTAGTGTGTGGAAAATATTTGATCTCTAACCTCACCCAGAACCCCCTGAAGTCAGATGATGAAATTCTCATCTACTTTTGGGGGCCTCAGAAGATTTGACTAATCTTGGTTTACTCTAGGGAGTTTTTTCTCCTCCCTGTTCTGAGAACTGCAGCTTTAGGGGCTGCAGTCGGTTCAGTATGAAGCATTATCATCATGCACTATAGTAAATGCTTTTCATACATTTCATTCATTTTCTTCAAAACTTGACCACCTAAGCTCTACTGGAGATGTTATGGAACTGGCTAGTTCCCTCACACTGTGTGAACCTGGCAGGTGGGTGACAGAAGCCATGTTTTGTCAACACTGCATTCCAGGACTCCCAGCTTGGCTGATTTCAATTTTGAGCTGCGTTTCCTACCTGTACAAAGCACATTCTGTAATTATCTGTCAGGTCTGAGGGTGTATCTTCAGAACCTGCAGGTCCAGTCTGGTCTCTCACCATGTTCAGTATATCAGGGCACGAGCTGTGTCTTCCAGCCAGATTCTTGATGGGGATTGGTCTGTCTTTTTGCTGGCAGGAACCATGCCTCCTCTATAGCCGGGGGGATGGGGGGGCGTGCCTTGTCACCTACCCAGGTCAAACCCCACTCTGGCTGGCTTCCGCATGAATTCTTACATGGGCTCCCAGCAGCTGTCCCTCTCTCTCTGCAGTGTAACCCAGTGATGATCGATGCCATCAAAGTGTCTGCCGCTCACAGGGCCCGCTACTTCTGGGGCAACCTGCCTGGAATGAACAGGTAACAAGGGGCTCAAGGTGGGACAGGTAACAGCCAAGTTAAGTATAACTAATGATGTGAGCCCCAACTGTGAACTCTTGTGACTCAGAGACCCATTCATGCCTTCTAGAAAGCACTGGCTCTGCCAATTAACGGCCCCACCTAGGATTCAGACCAATCCCTGTTGCCATGTTGGAAGCCTTTTGGGAAGCGCTGCCCCGACCTGGGAATCTGAGGCTAGGATTCCTTAGTCTTCTCTGACTTGTTCCCACTCTGCCCATGGGCCAGGTTCTTCAAAGTGCCTCATGCTGGAACAGAGCAGACTGAGTGCTGATGCTTCCATACCCCACCTCTTCCAGTTACTGTCCCATTGGGAAATGCAAGTAGATTGTTAGATGAAGTGATCCCTGGCCGTGAGACCTGTGGTGAGCAGCCCAGTGGCAAAGCTGAGATAACCTGTCCCCTTGGATTTTCTTAACCAAGAGCTTTTCCCAACTTTTTATCAATCTTTTCATGTTGAAAGCCACAAAGTAAGTGGCTTTGTTGAGGATCATTATCTCCTCCATGTGGTTTCCAGGGGAACAACCTGCTAATTAAGATACGAAATATGATGGTAATGTGACATCCCAGACTTGCAAATGAGTTAAGCTTGAAAAAAATTTTCCTTTAGAAGGAAGTGCTGGAAGCATAACTTTCAGGCATTTAGCAAAGTGTGAACAGAGGGGAGAAGTTGCTAGAATAGCTTGTAGGATTTCTGTTGGGTATGTTGCATTTTTATTTGGCTAATCAGCCAGTGAAATGGAAAATGTTCATGTCTGGATGAAGTGGGCTCTTCACTCAACACTTGAGCTCTCACACTGTGCCAGGCATTGCTCTACGTGCTGCCGGCTTAGTGGTGAACACATTAGATGTCAGTCTTGGCTCTCATGGAGTTGACATGTAATGGGGGATGGGTAGAGAAGACAGTAAATAATTTCACCGTCCTGGCTGGAGGTGGGGGAATTGGAGGAATTGATGGGGAGGCTTCTCATTCTACCAGGGCCTTAAATGAAGGAATGGGGCCATGTAGTTAATTGAGGGAAGAATGAACATTCCAGTCAGAAGGAATAGGGAACGGGGTGATGGTGAACAGCACATGGGAAGAGCAGCTCAGAGAACAGGGTTCCAGGGGCCAGAGTGGCTGGGACAGTATGGCAAAGGACTCAGAAATATGGGCCAAATTATGTGGCATTTGTGAGTCATTGCATGGGAACTCATGAGCCATTCAAGCAGGTGAGAGGTGCATCTCAGATTCATGATAGTTGCTCATAGAAGGATAGACAATAGCAGGATGACAGCACCAGTGGGGAGACCCGTGAAAGTGGGCATTCAGAGGAGGGTGCCATCCATACATACTCAACACAATGCAAGTGTGGCTCTGGGGGCTTGGCAGCTCAAGAGTTCTGTGGCACTTAACAGGAGGGATCAGATTATAGGTAATGTGAGGGTAGGACTAACAGGATTTGCTGATGCCTTAGATGTAGGGTATCAGATGAAAGGAGAGAGTCTGCAGAGCCTCCAGAGCTTTCTCTCTGAGTTATGAGAATAACAGCGTCTACAGCTGGGCCCTGCAAGGGTGGTGACCCAACCCACCTGGTAGTCACAGACCCAAATCCAGCTGTCCAACCTAACACCTTGGTTATATAGATCTCAGTCCTACAGTCAGCACCAGGTATGGCTGTAATGTGTGTCCCCCAACTCCCTTGGGTTCATGGAAGAGTAAAGATTGGGGGTAGGCAGGCATTTAGCCCGGAAGGTGAGGTCAAGGAAATCTCTGACAGAATCTAGGGGAATGTTTTGTGTGATTCTGTGGCCTCTCTTGTGGGCATCATTCATTCCTACATCTGATTTCCTTTTGGCCTTGAAGTTCCTTACACAGAGGTTGCTGTGGTGTTCATCAACTCTGTGCATTCAGACCTTTTGCTGGTTTTCTCCTCTGGAACGCTTAACCACTCCTCAAGTTCTAGCCCTCCGCCTTCTCAGGCATCTGTCTGCCTCTCTGCATTTGCAGGTTTCAGTGGTGAAAGTTACAAGGGTAATGGTTCGTATTGTCAACCATCTCCTGTCCTTCTTTACCTGTATCTCCTGTTAGCCCTGAAACCGTCCCGAGTCGTCTTTGGTGTAAGCCACCAAATCATGGGTTTCATGTGCTAGTTGCAGCAGGTAGATCCACCAAGACCTAGTCTAAGCTCCTGAGGCCCAGAGAGGTGGCCTGACTTGCTCAGGGTCACTCAGTGAGCAGTGGGGCTGGACTGGAGGGGTCTCCTGACTCCTTCCAGTTTGCTTTCCTTCATCCTGCTGTCTCTGCAGGAAGGCTCTGATTAATACTAAAATTTGGAAAGGGGAAGCATTTGCTCCTGGACATTGGACTGCCCCTTCAAGGGGCTAGTCTGTTCCTGGCTTTGGCACATAGTCTTGCCAGGCTCATTTTTTTTTTTTTTTATCCGCTAATTGTAACAAGTTCACTGCCAGAGCACATTTTGCAGTCTTTGGCCCTCATTCCCACCTTGGGAAGCGCCTAGCCGAGGCCCCTTTATAGTTGGTAGAAAGTAATGGGTTTTGGATGTTCCCAGGCCCGTGATAGCATCAAAGAATGATAAACTCGAACTGCAGGACTGCTTGGAGTTCAATAGGACAGCAAAGGTAAGACTTGCTAACAAATGGTCTCTGGAAACGCACTTGGTGACCTCCAAGCGAGGACTTGACCTTGGTGTCCAGTTTATTCCTGCCCCTCCTCCCCACATGACTCCCTGGTGCTGGGCCTCTTTCCCCACTTAATTGTTCTGTCCCATCTTAAAACAAAAGCACAGAGTAGGAGAGGCTCTTGATACAGAAATAATCACCATGAGAAAAGGTGACTAGTTTGCGAATGCAAACTCCATAGAGACACAGATAATTTCAGCTCATCTTCCCAGTAGCAAATGAGTAATTTTTGTTTTGTCACAAAAATTGTGTACTGGTAAAATTATATTGAGATCTCTGTAAACTTAATGTTTACATCAGGCTAGGTTCCATTCATTCAAAATCCAGTGGGCCATCCTCAAAATCTGGGTGGGTTTTTACTTTTGCTTAATCCTGCTTGATCAAGAACTCTGGTGTTTTCTTGGCCCCCATGTGATCTCATTCATGTTCACTTTTTTATCTGTTGTTCTGTGAGGCTGGTCCTTCCTGTTCATTAACTTCTTGGTGTTCGTGGGAAGCACAAAATGTTCTTGCCTTCCAGCTCTCCTTTTCTCATTCCCTCTGTGAGCCCAACCCTGCCTCCCTCTCTCCCATGCCTGCCCTCCCTCCTCCATCTTCCCGAGGTGATGATGAGCTTTGACTTGACCCAGACCCTTCATCCTGTGCTCACTCCATGATGTCGTTTTGTTCTCCAGTTAAAGAAAGTACAGACAATAACCACCAAGTCGAACTCGATCAGACAGGGGAAAAACCAACTTTTCCCTGTTGTCATGAATGGCAAAGAAGATGTTTTGTGGTGCACTGAGCTAGAAAGGTGAGCAGGGCTGCACGTGAAGAGGGGAATCATGCAGGCAGAGAGAAAGGGGAAGAACATGTGGTCAAGGCAGGCAGCATAAATGGGCAGGTGTTTGCCTTAATTCTGCATGGTCTCACTGACCTATGTTAGTGGGGCTGGGAGTGATACCTTTTCAGAGTTAGTGCTGATTTTCCTGGTAGAAATGGCAGAAGGGTGGTGGTAAGGAATCTGAAACATGAGGTCATTAGACCACATCATCTCTGTTTCTGCTGTGCTGCCCTGGCATTTAACTGCCCCAGCATGCTGGGCTTCCAGGGCAAATGAGGAACCAGCCAAAGAAAACCCCACTGACTTGGCCATTGGTCTTTCACAGATTCCCTCTGCCAATAAAGCTGGTTCCTACTTAGCCAAAGTCTGTCTTCTCCTTCCATTTATTTGGCTAAGCTGATTGTTTAACTGTTTGGATTCAAAGAACCAGCTCTTGGATTTCAATTCTCCTTTTCTGATTTCTTTTTTTTTTTTTCCCCTGTTTATTTTGTTCTTACTGTTGTTAGAAATGAAGGAAGGGCTATGAATATTCCTCTTTACATTTTTGGCTGCATCTCAGAGGATTTGATAAGAGTATTTTCATTTCAGATATTTCAGTCCTACAGCTGGTTTTATTTCTTTACCAGTCGTTTTCTTAGCCTAAAATTAAGTTCTGATTCATAGAAAGAAACTGGCTGGTAACCTTGCCCATTCATCTTGTGGGTTATTTTGTATTTTGAGACCTAAGCCTTACATGCTGGGCTGGCCCTGTGATATTAGATGGATGCAGATGATATATATAAGTGGGTATAGGCACTTACAAAGGCACTATATAGGTCTACGGTGTTACATCTTTGGCACATTGCTTAACACCCATTGGTGTGCTTTTTAGTATTAGATTGTAAACCCAGGAAAGACTGAGGTCTAGTGTATCTGTAGCCTCTTCCCAGGCCTGGTAGAATCTCATAGAGGAAGCTCTTGGTATATTTGGTTGCCATCTGCCATTAAGTCCAGCTTGGCCCTTGACCTAACAACTGGTTTTTTTAAGAGGGAGAGAAAATGCAGGATACTTCAGTGTACTTATGGTTAATTATCTGAGCATCTGATGATCTATTTCTGCAAGTGTCCTTAATTCTTATTAAGGAAATTTCCCTTTCCTCCTCTTGTGATTTGAAGGCAGATACACGTCTGTTTGCTTGCTGTCTGGCTTTCTTGGCATTCATTCATTCATTCATTCATTCATTAACATGGGAAAGGTCCACTGAGCACCAGCTATGTGCCCGGAGCACAGCGCTAGTGCTTAGGGATGCACGCAACAGGCCTCCTTCTAGAGGAACTGTGCCCTCTGGACCGTTATTTGTGTTCTGTAGAACCGGTTGATCTGTCCTCTGGGGTTCAACGAGGGCTCATGTGAAGGCCCGGTTGGCCTGATGGAAAGGATGGGACAAAGGGCAGAAAGAGCAGTGCCATGCTCTTCGTGTGAGGATCTCCCAGAGGCAGTAAGCATGCTGGAAGGGGCACTTCTGACTCCCTGTCTTTTTATTCTGGTGCCCCTGCCCCCCCCCCCCCCCCAGGATCTTCGGCTTTCCTGTACACTACACGGATGTGTCCAACATGGGCCGTGGTGCCCGCCAGAAGCTGCTTGGGAGGTCCTGGAGTGTGCCTGTCATCCGACACCTCTTCGCCCCCCTGAAGGACTACTTTGCCTGTGAATAGCCCTCCCAGGCACCCTGAGCCCAGGAGCACTGGGGCATGTGGGGCAGAGCCAGGACCCAGTAGGTACAGCCCCAGTTCTGCCCTTCCTCTGCCCAGCATTGTGGGGTCACGCCACATAACCTTGGCAGGAGTAGAGCTGTGTGACCCACTCCTGGCAGGGGGAGCCTGAGGTGCCACCTCCTTGTGCACAATTCAGACCTGGCCGCTAGGAGCGGCCAAACACGGTGCTCATTTTGTCTTCTCTGAAAACAAAACTTGAAGTAGGTAGTAAGATGGCTTTTTTTTCCCTCCTGGGTTTACTGCTCAGAGAAACAATGGCTAAGATACCAAAACCACAGTGCCGACAGCTCTCTAATACTCAGGTTAAAGCTGAAAAATCACCCAAGACAGTTATTGCAAGACTTTGGTTTGTTTTTTTTTTTTTTTTTTTTAAACATCTGCAGCCCCTCATTTCCAGGAGCATGCAGTGGTAGACATGTAGCTAAGGGACATTTTAAGAGCCTTGGGTGTTTTTTTTCCTCTGGGGCTAGCAGAAGAGGAAAGGATGCCTGTCTTTCTTGAATTTTACCCAGCATGTTCCCCTGGCCTCAGTATAAAGGGCTGGGACCTGCTGTCGGTGTCCGTGTAGAGTATTTTCCATAACGATGATGATTTCAGCAGGGATGACCTCATCATCACATTCAGGGCTATTCCTCCCCCCCCCAAACAAACCCAAGGGGACAGCTACCCTTAGCTAAATGCCCTCCCAGTGACTGCAATAGAACCCTCCGGGGAGCTCAGGAAGGGGTGGGCTGGGTTATCCGCTGCTGGATATTATGCAGACAGGTGTGGCTTCTCTTGGTCTCCCTCTTCCCCATGTAAAGGGAGCAAAGGAGGAGGCTTAGGGAAGGCATCCCCCTCCACCCCCAAAATGCACCCTCCAGACTACTCTGCAGGCACAGGTCCCCACATGAAAGGACATCCCGAATCCTCAGCCTTTTCCTAAACTGAATAGCAGTGACAGCAGGAGCAGACGCACATTCCCCGCCCTTTCCCCTCCTCTAAGAGATTGCAGGGGGAAAACTGCAATAAAAAACTCGACCCTCCCTCCAGAGATTTTAAAGTCCTTTTGTATCCCACGAGAAGTTTTTAGGGGGAACGGGAGGTCGGGAAAGCTGCATTTCAGAAATGCTGTCCTAATGGTTTTAACAACTTTTACTCTTCTTACTGGTGCTATTTTGTAGAATCAGGAACAACGTTGACAGGTTTTGTGGGAATTTTTTATACACTTTTTTTTTAATCACAGACTTCTATTTTTATGTTTTAACATTTTCATAAATTTTTTTTTTGTAACTGGAGCCACGTAACAAGTATGGGGAAAAAATTGTGCCTTGTTTCAACAGTTTTGCTAATTTTTAGGCTGAAAGATGACAGATGCCTAGAGTTTACCTTATGTTGAATTAAAATCAGTATTTCTCTAACAGTCTGGTGTCCCTTTCCTTCTTTGCAGGTCAGATGGGTGGGACGTTGGGAGGGCCTGGTTAAAGCGGAATGGTGGGAGTTCCAGTTGGTCATTGGTTCATGCAGCAAGCACAGTGCAGGAATACCAGTGTGACCCCATGGAGTGGTCTAGAACACTGGTCCCCAAACTCCAGGGTACCAGCTTCCCCTGTGAGGCTCATTAAAGTGGAGATTTCTGGGCCCCAACTTGAGTTTCTGATTGATTCACTGTCTCAAGTAGAGCCCAAGAATTCTATGCTGCTGGTCCAGGGACCACACTGGGCTAGTGAATGGGTTTCTAAACCTTGGTTCTCAAAACAAGGGACTGGAGAGACTTTGAGTTCATTTAAAGGCTTGAGGTCTGGAAAAGCCATCTGACATGCTCTTAGGGAGCTGATCAAGGTGATTGACTCGAATCCCAGGGCTGCTTCTCCCAGTTGTCCATGCCTTTCTTGGATTCCCTTGCTCGTGGTTGCACTGCTCCCAAGTTGTCCTGTTTCAGTCCAGTAACAGGACCGGTTGGGAATGGCCCCATGATTCCAACCTAACTGCCTGTGGCCACAGCTCTTGGGGTGGAGCGTGTACGCATTGCTCTGCAGTTTACCTGGGCCAGCTAGCCCGGTGTCCCAATCCCCCAGCCCATCCTGCCGTAGTCCCATCACTAGATCTAGCTATTGGTCAGGGACCAGGAGCCAATGAAGATCTCTGTGCCTCTCCAGAGGTTCATTTTGGTCAGCTGGTGCATGCGGAGGGAAAACGGTGTGGAGAAAGGATGCACATGCAATGGATCAGTTGGAGTTCAATTGGATGTGGCAACTGTATGAGCCTCTCAGTTCCTTCAAATGTTAAGAAAGGCTCTAATCCTGGCCACCTCCATGACTAGAGTTGTATGCCTTATTAAGGTAAATGTTGGAGTGGAGGATGAGAAACATTGCCATGGTGAGACCGTTGGCAATTAACAAGTGGGCTGGCACTCTGAGGTGTTGCGGCCCCAGGGGGCCTCAGCTTCCCTATTAAGCCATCTTGTATACAGTGCTGCACCAAATACCAGGACAGAATGAAGCAAAATAAACAGACCCGGTCTCAAAACCCCAAGAGAGGAGGTGGACTATCCCACCAGGTGAGGGGCTCTTGGGTTGGCTCAGTCTGTTTGTGGGGCAGGCTGAGGGCTGGCTTTGGAGGGGCTGTTGGGGCTGCTATCTGTTTAAGCTAAAGGTGGGGGTTATGTTTGGATCTCCATGATCCCAGGCACAGATGGCAAGGGGAGTATGTGAACATTCTGATCTTGGGGCTGAGGTTAGACCTTGTAGGCCTTTTCTGAAGCAATCTTCCAATTAGCCTGGGGCTTTAGCCAGGGAGATTTGCATCTCTTAACAGGTAAGGACCATAAATCCTGCCTACTTCCTAGGGCTGCTATGAGGGTTCAAGGGCATGATGTGTGCATGCAGAAGCCCTCACATGTCCTGGATGGCATTGTGATAACAAAAGTCATTAGTCAATACAGTGTTAATGCCTGGGGGCTGGTAGTGATGTTGACATACAATATTCATGTTTAATAGAAAAAAAAAAACAAAAAGGAAGGGCAGGGCAGTAATCTCCGAGGGGTTTCCCAGTAGCTGGGCTGATGATGCCAACTGTAGCAACAATAGTGTCTGGTGTGTTCATCACCGGCCCCCACATCATGTTGGGGTCCCCTTGGTCCTTGTTAGGGAGAGTGGATGGGGGTGGCTTTGGCATCTGCCACCCCAGAGGCCTGCGGAAGGGATCTTGCAGGGACTGGTCCACAGCCGTTTGGTTGGGGCGGGCGGCGGGCGGCGGGGGGAGGACAGGGTCTCTTACCCGCCCTCAGTCCCTCTGGTTTTCCAGCCAACTTCTTGAATGATACTGTGTTCAAGGCCTGCACCTGGTTCTTGATGACTGCAGTGCAACTGGGTGTCTGCCCTGTCTTCACCCACTCCTAACTTGTGACCTTGGGGGTGCTCCATATCCTCTCGGTGCCTCAGTTTGCCCAAGCGTGAAACAGGATAATAATCAACCTTCTAAGGCTGGTTTGTGGCTCAAATGATTCCAGGCATGTGAAGCATGTGGGAGAGTGCTTGTGGGTAGCAAACATTGGGTAAATGGCAGCTGCTTTATTGTTACTGTTGGAGAAGCTTCCTAGCAACCCCGAAGTGAGGCCCTGATTACCATGATTACCCGGAAGGGAACTAAGACTCAGAGAGGTCCCATAACTAACCCAAGGCCACATAGCCAGAGGCAAAGGAGTTTTGAGTTGGAATCTGTTCTGTGAAGCCAAAGTAGTCTGCTATCTCTTCTTGGTCCCACCTGCATCTGTTTATTTTTGGTGTGTGTGTGTGTGTGTGTGTGTGTGTGTTTTGTTTGTTGTTCTGCTGCAGCTTGAAATTATCTGCTGCCCTTTGCAGCCTGGAGTACAATTTGCCTACCTTCCTTGTTTCTTTCCCTAATTACCTTCTTCCAGCCTACCACCTCTATCCCTTTCTTCCCTCCTTTCTGCCTTCTCGCCTTTCTTCCTTCTGTTGAGCTTTATTGATTTCTTAAAATTTTCATGTAAAATTTCAGATATACAGAAAAGTTGCAAGAATAGTACAAAGAATTCCTAAATACCTACCACCCAGATTCCTCAAATGCTAACATTTTGCAATGAGTGTTTTGTCATCCTCTCTCTACATTGTTTTTTCTGAATCATTCTAGAGTAAGTTACAGAGATGATGTCTCTTTACCCTTAAATCTTTCAGTGTGTATTTCCTAAAAACCAGAACATTTTCTTAACATGACTACAGTACATCATAATAATAATCAGGAAATGAACATTCGTTTACTTCCTTATCTAATCTATAGACCTTATTTAGATTTTGCCAGTTGCTGCAAAATGTCTTTATCGAGGAAGATAAATAAACATTTTCTGGTCTGGTATCCATTCCAGAACCACGCATTGCATTTGGTTGTTTTTTATTTTTTTATTTTTTTAAGATTTTATTTATTTGAGAGAGAGAAAGAGAGAGAGAGAGCACAGGAGAGGGGGGAGGGTCAGAGGGAGAAGCAGACTCCCTGCTTCTGATGCGGGACTCGATCCTGGGACTCCAGGATCATGACCTGAGCTGAAGGCATTCGCTTAACCAACTGAGCCACCCAGGCGCCCTATTTTTTATTTTTAAAACTTAACTGTGAAATATACCAAGAGGGCTGTGCATAAATCCTGGTATTTCAGGCCTTATAACCTACCTGTGCTCTATGAGCTTTGGTTCATCCTGAGGTCTCAGCATTGCAGAAAGGATACAGAGGCTGGCATTACTGGAGCTGATGATTGCTTACTCTGAGTCTTTGCACATGCTGTTCTCTGCCTGAAACAGCCTCCTTCTTTCCAGACTCCTTCTCCAGTTCTCACCTCTTCCAGAAAGGTTTCTTTGCCTCTATTCTAGGCAGGATTAGGAGCCATTCCCTAATCTGAGTCCCCCTTCCCTGTGGATATAGAATCTATCTCAGCACAAAACACTCCGTATTAGAATTTATTTCTGTAGTTGTCTCCCCCTTGAGCTGGTCAGGTCCCTAAGGCAGCTGAGACCTCCCAGCACCATTTTTTCGTCCCGTAAACTTGTCATACATTTGGAAAACTTAGGCCTTGATGTCATAGTTTTTGTTCTGTTTTGTTTTTGGAGAGGGGATTCACAATTTCTACCTGTGATAATGAGATCACCTCCATGTTAAAACAGTTGCTTAAAGACACATATTAAAATCTCCACAGCTATTTCTCCTTCTGGCTAGAAACTTTTTTTCTTATTACTCTCTGGCCTTTTGCAGTCAAGGCTTAATCTGACCCAGATAACCTTGGCTGCCCTGTCCTGAGGGAGGAAAGTAGACTCTAAGCAGATCACGTGCCCCTTTC